TTAGCTCAGTGGCACCATGCCTAACTCAAAAGTGCAAGGTCCTGAGTTCGATCCCTGGTACTGAAAGAAAAAAAAAAGCTAGCTGAGATTCTGTCAGGTGCTATTTTGGATTTGTAGATTATTTTGGAGAATATTAAGTATTATTAATGATATTAAGTATTGTTAACAATATTAAGTATTCAAATTCATGAACATAAGAGATATTTGTATTAATTTGGATTTTTAAAGATTTTTCTGGGCTTGGAATGTTTTTCCATGGTAGAACACTTACCTAGTATGTGTGAAGAGGTCCTGGGTGCCATCCAGAGCACATTTAAAAAACTCTTTCATAAATGTTTTAAAGAGTGCTATGTATTTTTGAGAATTTTTTTTTTTCGGTACCAGGGATCGAACTTAGGTCCTTGTACTTGTGAGGCAGGCGGCGTAACCACTGAGCTAAATCCCCAGCCCATTTTTTTTTTTTTGGTACTGGGAATTGAACTCAGGTCCTTGTGCTTGCACAGCAGGTGGCGAAACCACTGAGCTAAATCCCTGGCCCAAGTGCTATGTATTTTTGAAAAAAATTATTCCTAAGTATTTTATTCTTTTTGATGCTATTATAAAGGAACTTATTTCTTTTTTTTTTTTTTTGGTACCGGGGATTGAACTTGGGTCCTTGCGCTTGCACAGCAGGCGACGAAACCACTGAGCCAAATCCCCGGCCCAAGGAACTTATTTCTTAATTTCATTTTTGATAGTACACTGCAAGTGTTTAGAAATACAATTGATATTGGCTTATTGATCTTGTATCATGCAATCTTGCTAAACTCATTTATTAGTTTTAATGGAGTCCTTAGGATTTTTTATATATAAATTCATGTCATCTTCAGAGATAGTTTTGGTTTTCCTCTCCCATTTTGATGTGTTCTTAAATGTTGTATTAAGTTGGACATGGGGTACACACCTGTAACCTCAGCACTTGGGAGGCTGAGGCAGGAGGGTGATGAGCTCAAGGCCAGCCTGAGCCATACAGAGTTACAGGCCAGCCTGGATTACACAGTGAGACCTACCACAGTGAATGGGTGGATGGAGATGAGGTACTGGGAGCACGAGTGTAATCTCAGCCATTAAAGAAGGTGAGGCAGGAGGATCACAAGTTCAAGGCTAGCTTGGGTAACACAACAAGACTCTTGTCTCAAAAAATTAATAAAAAGGGCTGGGAATGTAGCTCCATAGTAGAGCACCTTGGGTTCCATACCCTGTACTGGAAGTTAAAAACAAAAACAAAAATTGTTTTATTGAACATGTTTATACATCGTTGCAGAAGGGATTCAGAATCTATTATACTCTTCAAACCAAAAGTGGCAATAACTTATACTCCGTTTCTTATTATATCCCTTTCCAATTCATTATCTTTACTGTAGTCAGGCCTTTAAAAAAAAAAAAAAAAGTAAGCCATACCAACCACCTCTGGGTAACATAAGTCCCAAAATAAAAATATGGAATGCACAGGGTCCAACAGTTTGTAGTCTTTGTGTCATTCTACTCAGGACGCAAATTTAACAGTGCCTGACTAACTACACTTTGACCACATTTCCTTGAGCACACTCAGTGAAAGTAAGGGTTTAATGGAAAGAATCTTCAGGAACCTCTTTTGTAAGAGGCATTTACAGTGTACTTTCCTCCCAAGGTGGAGCATTCATTGGAAAATCTCTCCAAATAAATTGGGGTTTCACTAAAAAGGGAAATGAATTCTATACTACTAGCAGACAATATCCTTCACAAGAACTATTGTTGCCTTATTTTACAATAGGACAAAAATAAGGGGATGAGGGGCCGGGGATTTAGCTCAGTGGTTTTGCCGCCTGCTGCACAAGCACAAGGATCCGAGTTTGATCCCCAGTACCAAATAAATAAATAAATAAATAAGGGGATGAAAAAAGACCAAGTGGATTGATGTCACAAAGCTAATAAATGATAATGTATCATTTAAATGCCATGTTCTTGCCACTCTACTGTGATACTTACCATTCCCATAGCACCCTCATTGTTGGACCCAGTCTTTGCTCATTCTGTTCCTATGCCTGGAATTTCTTCTCTGCTCTTTTCTCTGCTTCATTTCTTTGGTTAAATATTTCCTCCTAAAATTCCATTAGTCATGTCTTTTTTTAGGATTTGGCATATTTATCAGAGTTGGATAAACATCTGTCTCCCAGCAGTCTATGCACTGGGTGAGTTAGAGGAATGCAGGACATGGTGGTACATGCCTGTAATCCTTGCACTCTGGGAGACTAAGGCAGTAGGATCACAAGTTCAAGTCTAGCCTGGGCAATTTAGGAAGACCCTGTCGAAAACTGAAAAATAAAAAAAGGGCTGGGGATGTAGCTCAGTACAAAGGCCTTGGGTTCAATTCTTGTCTCCCCACCCTCACTTTCCAAAGAACTAGAGGCATCTTTTGTTTTGTTTTGTTTGCAGTACTGGGGATCAAACTCAGGACCTTGTGCATGCCAGGCAGGCGCAGCGCCACTGAGCTAAATCCCTGGCCCAAGAGGCATCTTGATTTTTATATTCTAGTCCCTAGCACAGTGCTGGGCATTTAGTTAAAAAGGTAATCTAATCCCTTAGCAATTCTATTAGGGAGAAATTATTTTCAAGCAGATTCTAAAAAGATGAGAACAGGCTGGGTGTGATACTGTATGCCTATAACCCCTGCACTCAGGAGGCTAAGGCAGGAGGACTGCTGTGCGTTCAAGGCCAGCCAGAACTAGTCTCAAAAAAACAAGAGGGGTGGAAGGGGGTGGGGGATACATTGAAGCACTGAAAGGTTAAGTAACTTGCTGAAGGTCACACATTACTTCATGTTGAGAGCTGACATACTTGAAATAGCCTCCTTTGGACAAAAGTAATTATGGTGTATTTTTATTAAATATGCTTGCTTACCCATTCCCTCTCAAAAAAGAGGTGGGGGTAGTACTTTGTATGGTGGTGCACACCTGAATCCTAGCACTGTGGGAGGCTGAGACTGGAGGTTCTCAAGTTTGAAGCCAGTCTGGGCAACTTAGTGAGACCCTGTCTCAAAAAATAAAAAGGGCTGGGGTTCCCCTGTACCAAACAAAAAACACAAAAAAAGAACAAAACAAAAAAGGGCTGAGGATGTTAATTCAGTGGTAGAACACCCCTGGGTTCAATCCCCAGTACCACAAAAAAGAAAGAAAAAAAAAGATTCAAGGCTGGGTGAATAATCAATGATTTTGTCCTAAATAGGTTTCTTTGAACAAATGAGATGTTGGACTACATGGTTTTATGCTTTTGTGATCAGAATGAACTCATACACCTACCAAGTTTCATGTTCTTATAATCTAAAGAGCTGAGTTTACAACATAAGCATTCATAAAATTTAAAATAAAAATAAACATATACATGAAATTTGACAGTGTGGTCTTGTCAATATAACAAAGTGGTATGGTTTAGATAAAAGATGTTTCTAAAGGCCTCATGCACTAATTTGGGGGCTTCTGGAAGGTGACTGAATCATGGGGGTGCTATGGCTGACTTGATGTTGGAAGACACCGTCGCGGGGGCTCGGAGGTTAACTTGGGTCCATCTCCCTGTCTCCTGTGGCATAAGCACCTTTCCTTTGCTAGGCCCTGGAGCCAGCCCACCATGGAATGAAAACATGAAACAAATGAACCTCTCTTCCTTTAAGTTGTGGCCGCTTCGTATTTGTCCCAGTGAGAGAAAAGGGACTGGGACATTTAATTTCCCTTACATTTCCCTGACAGTGTGGGGAGCCCCATTGTTACAGGGCAATCCTTGGGCAGTGCCTGTCTGATCTTCCCTAGGAGAGAAAAACACAATGTCCACCTATCAGAGAGACAGATGGGAGTACTGCATTTCTGTCCTCTCTCTTTGCATAGCACCCGTCCACATGCGGCCTTAAACACTTACTGAGCACTTACTGCATGTTGAGCATAACGTGACGGTCCTTATTTTCAAAAGATTTGAAGTCCGTGGGATAGAAATTCAGCACCCCTCACCTTTTTCTCCTCCAGGTCCCCTCCCTCCCTGGCTGTGTTTCCCTTGTCCTGTGGGGAGGGTGAAGCCCTTTGTCCACCCACCAGAGGCAGTGGGGCGCTTTCCAACTCGACACTAGCAGAAGAGACAAACTCGAGGTCTCCAGAAGCCCAGGTATCTGAAGTCTCAGGCCAGACTCGGAGGTGCCCCAACTCAGCAGGTTGGGTTTCCCCGAGGATAATCCGTGGGCCGAGCACAGCCTCACCACACTTTTCCGGAGCTTCAAACCAACGGGCTCCCCGCCCCCGCCTGGCAGTGGTCCTCAGGTCCCAGCTATCGCGGGGGACCCCCTCTGCCGCCCGGGAGGGGCGCGGGGATCCACAGCACAGGACCCACCTCGCGGCCCCGCCGGTGCCGGGCGTTGCCACCGCGGGGAACCCCGGTGTCACGCGGCAGGTCGAAGTCGCCCCGCCACGCTCCCAGCCCTCCAGGCCCTCGGGTCGGTCTCCCGGGACCCAGCAGTTCGCGGGGCCTACATGCGACCTCTCTGGCCACACCCGAGGGAAGCCCGGGTCCCAGCCGTAATTCCCCAGCAGGGGGGTCTTCCTCTGCTTTCCTTGAACGGGCGGCGGCTGGGTCGCCCGACCTCAGCCTCGGGGCTAGCGGGAGGGCTCATGGTCCAGCAGCTCTTCCCCGGGGGCGTCCAGTAAACTTCGACCGACCCCTACCCGGCCTCCGGCTCTTCTGGGAGGGGCATGCCGTGCGCAGGGCAACCTTCCCGCACCAGTCCGCGCAGAGTCCGGCCCTAGCCTCCCTCCTCCCGCTCTCCAGCTGCCCAGCCGCCCGCTACGCACCGCTCACTGACGGCTGGGGCGGGGCCGGGGCCCGGGGCTGGGCTTTTACTCGGTCTCCACCATGCAGGGGAGCGGGGGTGGCGGCCAGGTCTCAGGCCAAGGGCATCTCGGTGGTGCATGACAGGGTCGCCAAGAGGTGGGCGGGAGAGTTCAGAGAGTAAGAGCCCCATGGCACGGCCTGCAAACCTCTTTGGAACCAGGCCACTCGTCCTCTGTCGGGTCCGGCGCGAGCCTGACCCCCCTCCGGCGGAGGCACTTGGTTCCACCCCGGCGGGTGGCCATGTTGCGCCCATAAAAAGGGAGGGCGTCGGCGCGCGGAGCAGATGCCGCTGGCCGCGCGCGAAAGCCGAGTGCGAATGTAGTGTGGCCCTGACGGAGAGGCGCGGGAGTCCAGCAGGAGTCTGCGGGGAGCGGCCGGGCGCTGCGATGGCCGTGGCTGTGGGGAGGCCGTCGGTGAGTGCGTGTGGGCTCCGCGTGCGTGCGGGGGCGTGAGCGCGGCTGGGGGTGCGCGTCTGCGGCTTGGGGAGGATGAGCTTCCAGAGGCTCCGCTCCGGCCGGGTGCAGCTGTGTGTGGCAGCGCCGCACCCTTCTCCTGAGGACTTGGGAGAAAGGGACCCTTCTGCGTGTTCCCTAGAAAAGGGTCCTCTGAGCCAGGGCGATTGCCAGCCGCCTCCCTGTCCCCGCGCGCGCCGTTTCCCGCGTGACTGGTGAGGCCGGCTCCCCAGGCCATCAGGGCGTGGGAATTGAGAGAGCGGAGACGCCGGGTCCCAGGGCTGGAGGCGCGGGTCAGAGGGCTGGGGTTTCCGTGGTGGCTTCTCCGGTGCATTGTGAGATCCCGGACACCTTCAGGCACCAGCCTGGGCGACCCAGCCCTGCCCAGGTTGGGGACAAAGCCCCAGACACATACACATACACACACTCCCCACACAAAAGTTTCTAAAGGCTCCCTTGTCGCCGTGGGTGGGACCCGGGGCCGGAGCGTGGAGAATGGGGCGGCCCGCGCGGGGAGAGGGACGAGGGGATGCTCTGCCCCACGTTCGTGGGCCGCGGGCCTGGCCGGCGTGGGCTGGACTCTGAGCTTAGGGCTCAGAGGCTGTTCGCCGTCCCCGAGGAAAGGCCGAGGGGAGGGGCGGGGGCAGCCTCCCTTCCCATTGAAAGGAGCCCAGCCGGGTGGAAAAGGCGGAGTCCTCTTTCTTCCCCTTTCCCTTTTTTCTTCGTCGGTGTTGAGTCCACTTTCGCCTCGTCGGCTTTGCGGGCCTCTCGGGCGGGGTCCTTCCCGCTGCCACCTCCTTTCCCATTTCGCTTCTTCCCCTTCGCCCAAGTGATGCCTTAAGAGACTCTGTCGGACAGACACAAGTCCCACGGAGATGCTGGAAGCTCTGGGTCCTCCAGCCAGATCGGGAAAGCAGTCTGTGCCCTCAAACTCAGTGCCCTTCGCCCTCCGCCCCAGATTTATTCTTTTTTTGTGCCCCCTGCCCAGAGGTCCCGACCTCTGCGACTTCTACCTGGGCTTGGTAATTCTGCTACCTAGGTGTTTTTTCAGACACAGAGCTGTGGGTCTTCTAGGCCTTTTAATCGTAACTATTTAATACCATTCTTAAAAAATTATGGTTTCCACTTACAAATTATGTTCTTGCTATTTAGTGGTCATAGATTGTTGTTACTGGGGGAGTTTGCATTTTCTAGTGAGGAAACTGAGGTTCATAGAGATGAAGTTTATCTGGCCAAATTACTACTCCTACCAACACTACTTATTATCAGCACACAGATTCAGACAACTGAAATAACAAGTATCTGCTTTAGATACATTGGCAGGCGTCTGGGAATGCAAATATTCTGTGGGGTGCTGATTTTAGTAACACCTATTGCGGGTGTATTCTTGACTAGGGGAGATGGAAGAAATAATTTGCTGCACATTTTCTATAAATTAGTTCATATATGTCAGTTAAATAGGAACAATATGTGGATTTAAAGTTTAGTTGTGTGGCCATAATTATATTTAACACTAGATCTGCCAGCCAGATGTGAGCTTAATCCTAAGGACTTTTTTTTGCTTTGGTTTTTTTTTAAGACAGGGTCTTGCTATGTAGTTTAGGCTGGTCTTGAACTCACTGTGTTGCTCAGGCTGACTTCAAACTACCTGCAGTCCTCCTGCCTCAGCCTCCAGACTGGGATTACACGTCTGTGCCATCACACCTGGCTATCAAACGAATTCTTGTGTAAGACCTTTCCCATTTAGATAATAGAGATTTTGTTAAAAGTATATGTATACAAAGGAAGTTACTGCTTTTTGCACATCCCTGTTGTCTCTGGAATTAGGATTAAAATATTTAAAATGGTGAGAACAAGATTTCTTGTCGAGTTGTATGAGTGATCAGAGAATCGACTACAGAGTTAAAAAATCTTTTCATGCGCTGCAAAAAAAAATGTGCGATCACATTTGCAAGAAATTGTTGAACTATTTCACTTTGTTTATGTGGCTGCTCTCTTAATTGCGGTCTCTGCAGTTTTGTCTTCAAAACAACCTCAAAGAATTTAGAAGAGTCTGTAAACTCAGCTCGAAGGGATGGACATGAGTCTTTCTTGTTAGAATTCACTGCCTCTAGTTCCCTTAGTTATTTTATGATTTGAAGTAAAGGAAAGTTTTTTTTTTTTTTTTATGAGGCGGGGGAAATCCCTCTAAAGTTGATTTATATGTGAATGGAGTTGCCCTACTTACTCCTTTGGAATTAATTAAAAATTTTTAAAAGTTGTTTAAGGAAACATAAACATAGCTCCTTTCTCTATAAATTACCTCTCCTATCCAGATTGAAGAAAAATGAAATCTGAATGACTTGTCCTCAATTTTAGTCATCTTAGTGTGGTGATATTCAAGGTAAATACAACATTTTAAGGGCATAAATACTTACGGTATTTTCTGTCTTGTGAAGTGACTATATTTGGTTATGACCATTTAAACCCCAAGGCTAAATTAATATATATTTCTTAAGTGCCTATATTGTTGACTGCAAGAGGAAAGCTTCAGTTTAATACGATACTCTTTATTCCATTTGTAATCTCCATCTGTAGCTTCTCCATTTCCCCACCCCTGCAGGCAAGGGCTTGGACCAGAGAAGACCTTGGAACACATGTGCTCTTCCCACAGTGTGACTGATGATTAGCTAGAGCATTTCCCTCTAGGGATGTACCTACATTTTGGATGAATTAGTATTTTTGCATCTGCAACTCAGGACAGCTATTGCATTTTAAAACAGCACGTGGCAATTACTCTACCTGGGAATTAGGCTTTATGTAGCTGACCCTTCTCCCTCTTAAGGTGAGCAGGTATTCATCGGTTTTAGATTCTGGAAGTTGAAAGAACTTCAGAGGTCATTTGATTCAGTTTTCTCTCCAGTGCAGTATTTCTTACTTTATTCCTAATAAATGTGTGTTTAAATTTTTCCAGTGGTAGAAATTTTTTTCTATGATATCCTTCAAGAAATTTGTTTTTTCTCTTTACTCAAAAGAGGTAGAAGACCAGATGCACCATTTGCTCATTTAACACTGTTTGTTGAGCATCTGCTATGTGCCAGACACTGTTCTAGGTGTTAGTTGGATACAGCAGTGAAGTCCTTACCAGGAGCTTTTATTTTCTGAGATATTTAGTGTCTTCAAGTATTAAAATAAGAAGCTTCAGTGGAGTTTGTAAACTATTAGGGAGAAAGGATCTTGGGTACTTGTTAAGCAAAGAGTTAAGTGATTCAGGTAAAGGGCCTTATCTGTCTGGGGATCACTGTAGACAGTTCCTAAATGCAAGTAAAGTACTTGTCTGTCTTTGGGGAGTGGAGTTTTCACTGTGTGAGAAAGTACTGACAATGGAATGTTACATTCCCATGTGTTTTAGTTACTTTTCTTATTGCTGAGACAAAATACCAGACGCCCAAAGTTAAAGGAGGAAAGGTTTATTTAGCTCACAGTTTGTAGAGGTTTCAGTCCATAATCATCTGGGTCCAAGGCAGGGTGGCATTACAGAGAACAGTTTACGTCAGGCAGAAGGTAGCAAAGCAACAACAGATGACCACAGCTCTTTCTGTCCCTTATATCTTATCCAGGCTACTTAGGGCAGGTAGCACTCAGACCCTTAATCCTAATGCTCTTGATTCTAGTATTGCACCATGAATCAATCCCAGTGTCCCACTAGATCTAGCCACCTCTGAAAAAATCCCACCTATGACTGCATGAGACTTTGGGGGGACATCTAGATACAACATAACACCATGTTAGGAAACTGACATTTCTGTGACCTGTGGATGTGGATGGAGGGCTGTGGCTGATGTGTCTGGAAGATGATGAATGGAGCTCAGAAAGGTCCAGGGAAGGGTCATCTAAGCAATAAAGGGGTTGACATATAGCGGGTGGTTTTTAAAAATTAAAACTTTAACCAGTGATTTAAATTATATACATTGAGGTTCTGTAAGCAATTATTAAGGAATGCAAGAAGTATTTTTAAATCTTTTGAGTACTAGATTATTTTTTAAATCTTTTAAATTATCTTTAAAAATATGTTTACACTCCAGTGAAAAATCCAAGGAGCTGGTTAAAAGAACAAAAATACTCAGATCCCACCATCTTAATATAATAGCTCTTAAATGGCTAGTGTATTTCCATCAACATTTTGAGTTCTACTTCAGCAAGCATAACCCGTTTTATATGTTATTACTTAGAAGCCAAGCTATGAGCCAAGATAGGCCCTGTCTGACCATTGGAACACTCATAATGGAGGAAGCAAATGCTTAGGGCCACCCTCTTGTCTGTGGCCAGAATAAGGAATGAATGGTCTGGGACTTCACTGTTGGCATGATTTGAAAGGTCTACTTTGATGGATTGCCCAGAGACCAAGTGTTTACTCCCTCTGGTGATATGTCACTGATATGATCTTTGGGTTTAGACTCTGAAACAGGTGGAAGAGTTTTCTGTGCATCCCCCATCTCCCCATAGGAACTTAAACATGGGGTTGAGGCTCTTTCTGGATTTTATCATTTTATTGGGCTGTCTTTCATAGCCTTGGCTAGACCTGTCTCAAGTAGGGTCAGCAAAACGGAACTATTAATTTAAACAAAGACCCAGTAGAAGGGCCGGTTAGTTCAGTGGCATTGTGCCTGCCTCACAGGTGCAAGGTCCTGAGTTTGATCCTGGTACTGGAAAAAAAAAAAAAAAAGACCCAATAGAGCTAAAGCTTCTATCCTTTTCCCCAAGGAAAACTGTGCTTTACAATATAACAATATAATCCTCTGTGTGTGTGTGTGTGTGTGTGTGTGTGTGTGTGTGTGTGTGTGTGAAATCTAGATTGGCAGAAAACTCCTTCCAGCAGAACAGTATTACTCCCTCAGGGCATGGTGGCAGTTTGTCAGTACAGTGCTGTGAACATAAGAACAATACATGGGCTTTTGGTAGGTGATAAAATTTACCTCTTC